TCGAGGTTAGGCTCAGCACTTACCAGTACATGGGATCGGTTGTACTGATACTACACTCTGCACTTCTTGTACAGATTTTGGAGTTGGTCCCAGCGGCGTGCCAGAGTTTTGCTCGGATTTCAGCTACTCGGAGGAGACTTGAGGTATAACTGCATGGCGTCCGCAGTTCTGAAGTCCCCGTCTATTTCACTTTAGTTGTGTGTTTATTTCCAGATAGCTTTACTTTATTCAAACCTTTATTTGTATTTAATTTGAAGCTCGTGCACTTGTGACACCAATTCTGGGATGGTATTTAGACACCGTTATTTGATGGATTATTTCACTATATTTCAAACTTTACTTCCGCATTTGTTTCTTTGTTATTAATACATTTAAAAATTGTTTTAAAATAGATAATATTATTCTAACATTGGCTTGCCTAGCAAGTAAAATATTAGGCGCCATCACGGTCCGAAGGTGGGAATTTCGGACACATATGGAGGAGGCAAAAGCGTCCCTTAAGATGTCGAGGAAATGTGGAGCAGAAGCAGAGCTGCAGATGTTGGCAGGCATGATGGAAAATGAAGGCAAGAGGAAAAGGAAGAAATTGTCACACTCGCCCCTTTTACTGATTAACGTAGTGGCTCAAGTTTTCGAGCAAGTGTTGGGCTTAGACTCAATACTATTCTTTGGACCATTACTTCTGCAGTCAGCTAGATACACCTATAATGCCTCATTCGTCGCTCCGCTCATTGCAGGAGTTGTTCGAGCTGGAGTTGCTGGACTCACTTATCCGAGTTACAGCTTCTTCGGCCGACGCATGACTCTAATCTCGGCATGTTTAGGCATGATTTTAGCACATGGACTTCTTCAATTCTTTATTATTTAGGTTTCCTTTATATAGATTAATTTTTATTAACTGAAATATAGCATATCTAATTTGATATCACTTTTCTCGGATTTTTTCAGGTTTCCTTGCTGGGTCTCTTCCTTTTAGTAGGAGACCATATCTTTCAACTGAGCGAAAAGAGTATCTATGTTGACATGGCATTTGCCATCCCCCTCATAGACTGCTATTCAATGTTTATGGGGCCTTCTGAGTGGACTGAAGAATCGTACGCTGAAGAGATAAGTGCGTTAGGCGCATGCTGGGAGACGAGCATATCTTACCTCATGTCCCTAATCATGAAACCATCCGTTTTGCTGCTCCTTTGTGATCTCAAGGCTTGGATATTCATGCTATTTGCTACTATGACATTGGGAATGTGCTTCTCAATTTATAAAGTTTTGCACGAGAGAGAAAAGAAACATGGCGAAGGAGTTGAGGAAGATCTCTTCAAATAACATTGGTTTTGGAAGAGGTTTCTTCCAAAAGATGGCAATGTTGAAGCCGTGAAGCTGTAAATTAATTTTTACTGTAAAATTATAATTTATATTTATTGTTTTTATGTATTCCTGAGATTTTGGGTATCTGTTCTATTCTAGGATGACAACAACACTCTATCTATGTGGCAGATCAGGAGCATAATTCTGCATATTAACCAACTGATGGCTTTAGGGAGGTTTCAAGTAACACATTGCTATTCCTCATTTTTAGTTGATTACCTTTCTAATGTAGGTGTAGTTGAAAGACAAGAGATATTCTTCAGTGAGGCTCTCTCTCTTTGCAAGTGCAAGCCAAAGCCTTGCTGAAGAATGATAGAAACGGCTATCAAGTGACTTTGATTTTCTTTCGTATTTAATTGGAATCTACTAAACTAAATTTTATACTAGCATCATGCACATAATATTATTACTAAAATAATTTACGCAAAAATAATACCTCACTCTAGTAGTGCTTTAACATGAAAAAGGATGCACATAACATGCACATGACTCATTTGTTAACTCCTTTAAGGACTAAAATCTCATATTTACTTTATTGTTGTGCAAATAACTCATCAAGTAACATTAATCTCTCTAGTATGCACATAAATTCTTTTATTATAAGATTCGTAATAAGATTTATTTACTTTAAATATATCCATGCCCTGGTCGTGGAGGATGAGTTAATGTAGGTTTAATCTTTTTTCCTTTGGCTTGTGCCAAATTAATTGCTGAAAATATGAGTGTTCAAGGTTAGTATTATCCAACTAACCATTATTAGCATTTTCTATGTTGTGAAACAGGAAATATCATAATATATAGTTTTAAATCTTTTGTGCTTCATATTTCATGTCACACTTAAACAAGTTACAATCTTGCTGGTGATTCCCATTATATTGAGTGACATCAATGTTGGAAAGTCACCAAAGTGGATTTTCCTTGCTTATAACTCCATGGTGCTTTGGGGCAGTACCAGCACGAAAGCAGTAAATATGGCAGAATCTCACAACTTTTGTTATGGTTGGAGATGGTCCTTTGCCAGTCGTGCGTTTTTTGCTTTGCCACTTCTTGTACTGTCTTTCGTTCTTAGTGAGACCCCGAGGTTTCTCATTAAGAAAGGGAATATGGAGGAGGCAAAAGCATCCCTTAAGATGTGGAGTAAATGTGGAGCAGAAGCAGAGCTGCAGATGTTTGCAGGCATGATGGAAAATGAAGGCAAGAGGAAAAGGAAGAAATTGTCACACTCGCCCCTTTTACTTCTTAACATATTGGCTCAAATTTTCCAGCAAGTGTTGGGTTTAGACTCAATACTATTCTTTGGACCATTACTTCTGCAGTCAGCTAGATACACCTATAATGCCTCATTCGTCGTTCCACTCAGTGCCGAAATTGTTCGAGCTGGAGTTGCTGGACTCACTTATCTGAGTTACAACTTCTTCGGCTGATGGAGGACTCTAGTCTCGGCATTTTTAGGCATGATTTTTGTCACGACCCAATTTCACCTATAAGTCGTGATGGCACCCAACACTACAGCTAGGCAAGCCAACTAATAAATTAAGCATACATTGATAAAATTTAAAACCAAAAAAATATAATAAAATCCAAACTCTACCAATGTGTGTGCCAAGACCTGGTGTCACAAGTGTATGAGCATCTAGTAGATTATAAAAAACTCCAAATACTATCTAAAATGAAATAGACAGAATGTAAATATAAGAAGAGACATTGGTAGCTGCAGAACGACTCAGAAA